CAGGAAAGGCAGCTCCTTTCAGTGCTGGCCACCTCTGGGTAGATTTAGCACAGCCCAAATATTTTACAGAGAGATTTGGCAGTGTGTTCTCTCAGCTGCTCCAGAGAACAGGGGCAAGGGGCTGAAGAAGCACCATCATTATTTGTGTGGAATTCCTATCCCCTACTGAGCCATTAGCAGCTGAATGACCTCTGTACTGCAGAAAAGGTTCCTTTTCCAATTTTGAGATTGACTGGGGAAAAGAAGTCTCAATGGGGTGAAATATTCCTTTGGGGAGCACACTTCCATAAGTTCAGGCTGCTTGTTATCTTTTAAAGAACTTACAAGCCACAGATGCCAGCTTGTGCAGGAACCAGGCACCACTGCTTTCTGGTAAATGTGAATCCAGGTGAAATGGCAAATTCTCCTGGACCAAACAGAACGTTCAGGCTGCAGTTTCAAGCCATGTGCACATGGCAGGTCTAGCAGACATCTGAAGAACTGTTCACGCTCCTCCTGCCTGGACTAATTTGCCCACTGAGGATGGGAGGGTTTTCTGAAATTCCCAAGGTGCCACCTACTGGTGCCAGGAATTATTTTTAACCTCCACTGGCAACTCAAAGCAGGTGATTTGTTGAACTTTAGGAGTATAAATAGCTAGCAGACAGAAGTGCAGAATTAACTCATGGTAATTTCAATGAAGTCACTTGAAATGAGGAAGCTGAATAATCACTTGGGAGAGAAATGGGTACATTTTACTTCTCATAACCACAGAAAGCAATTTCAGTACTTTATACTAAATATATTCTTCTGCTGCACGTAATTTAAATATTTTTTACTGAAATGAAAATATTTGTAATTTCTAGAGATGAAATGCAGAAAGAGCTGAGCAAGTAACTGAGGCTCTGCAGAGGTGTTCCTCATGCTTTCATGAGGGCAGTGAATTATTCTGCACAGTCACATTATTTCATGCTTAGGTGCAAAATGAAACTATAACAGAGCAGTAGACAAATTCATATTTTGAAAATAATAACTCTGTTAAAAAACGATTAAAATGCAACAGTGCCATGCCCTTGATGCTTAACTGAAACTTCTACTTTCCAGCCCATGAGCACACTGAAAAACACACTTACCAAAATCTGTGTGATTACTCATCCAGCCAATTTCTTTAATAGACACCAGTGCCAACAACCCAGAGCCAACAAAGGAGCCAATCCCCGAGAAGAAAAAGAACAGCCCCATGATGGCACTCTGCATGGACTTGGGAGCAGCTGAATATGCAAACTCTAGACCTGTGTTCAAAGATGAAAAAATGCTGTTAGAGTAAGTAAGAAATGAGAGCAGATTGTTCCAGAAGCCACAGGTGTGTAGTGAATCCTTAGCAATTCCCAGCTCCTTTTAATTGCTTTATGAATCCTCTTAAAGGTCATCAATGCACCAACCCAATGCTGAGACACAGACTTCGATCTTATTTATGTTCCATGTCTAAAATCAAGGAATCTTCTGAACCAACACATTAATTTTTCTGTCTAAAATGGCCCTCAAGGAAATGAATTAAAGCAGCTCAAACCTGGCAGCTCCACGTTTCCCACCTCCCCTGCTTCCCTGGCTGCTGGGCAGCACAGGCAGGACAAGGAAAAAAGGGAAAAGTCCCTCTTGCATGAGCCATGAACATTTATTTCTTACAGCCTCAGTGTCTCTGAGTGTGCAGACAGAGAAATTAACTGGAACTGGAAAGGCAGTAATTATTTTAATTTAATTTACTTTGATCTAGAATTCTCCGAGTTCATTGCTTGCTAGCAAGCAATTCTTTTTAAAATTTGTAGATATAGGGCTTGAACTTTCAGCTGTCTTTGCTCAAATTTCAACCAATAAACCCAAGAAAAAGGTACCAGTGAGCATCCATCAGCAAATCTGTGCTAGTGCATTTGTGTACCAAGAGCACACACTGGGTTAGGCTCTGCCACACAAAGATTAATGCCCATGATTAACTCTCCTTTTCAGAATAATACTCCTGTCAAAAATCAAATGGGATTATTCACAAGAGACAATCAAATCCGTTCCTTGCAGAGCTCTTTCTGACAGGTGAAATGCTTGTTTCAAAACAGTCTGCTCACTGGGAATTAATGCTACCTCATCTAACATTTTTCCTTGCAAGGAGAGCATTACAGACCTGAAATTGCATAACTCTCATGTCTGGCATAATGAAGGCATGCTTTATTTACAGCACCTCTGCCGTCTGACTGCTCCAGGCTGCTTTAACAAATCCAGGGGCATTTCTTTGGAAGAAAAGGATGAACACTGGAAGGCAGAAGGGCCCAGCCTGGTGCTGTCAGGGAGGAGCTTTGGGTGCTCAGGGCTCCAGCAGCAGCCTCCTCACATTATTTCATGCTTAGATGCAAAATGAAACTATAACAGAGCAGTAGACAAATTCATATTTTGAAAATAATAACTGTGTTAAAAAAAACTGTTAAAACTCAACAGTGCCATGTCCTTGATGNCTGCCCTCCCTGGCACAGGGTGCCCTGCCTCACAGGCTCACAGGCTCACAGCCTCCCGTTGGCAGCCGCCTCGCCCGCCTTGGCCTTGTGGTGCTCGTACTTGACAGACACAATCAGGAACAGCAGCAGGGTGGCTCCTTGGATAGCAGCCAGCAGAAAGAAGTAATAGTTCAATTGGCAGCCATTGATATTGCCTGGGAAGAATCGGGGAGGAAAAAAGCATTAAGGAAGATGATACAAACGAAAACGTGAATCTTGTTAGGTGTTAGTGAAGACTTTTGTGCAGAACCAAACCAAACCACATTTCCATCCCACAGAACCAAACCAAACCACATTTCCATCCCACGGCAAAGGAAATTAATTAAACCAGCTCAAACCTGTGGATAATTTTAATTATCCACAGCAAAGGCTGGCACTGCTGAGGAAGGTGTGCACAGGATAAGCAATGTTTTCCTTTGTTCTCCAATGCCTTAGACCAAGTCAAAAGAAAATTTAAAAAAACCGCAAAAAATGAATGCTGTAAAGGAAGAAGTTGGCCACTCCACAGATACAAAAAAAGCCATTATTAAAACTGTTTCTCAGCCTTTTTTGGCAACAAAGTTTAGAGTTCATGAAAACATAGGTGGCTGCTTTGTGGCTCAGTCCGCCTGTGATGCCCCCTGTAAGTTGTCACAAATTACTGCTCTGGACACTGAACAGTGTTAAATGCAGGAAGCTCATTGCTAAAACATCACTCCTCTGTTAGGAAGCATGCCCAGCTCCTGCTGGATTTCCAAGAACAATATATTGTGGCTCATTTCCAGCACAGCACAGCCAACTGGACCATTACAATTATCAGATGTGTTGCAGAGACTAAAACAGTGACGTGTGCATGGACCCCAACCAGCTGTTCCTGCTGCAAGCCTATAAACGTGCAGATTCAATTACTTTAATTACTGAAACTTAAGATTCAATTAAATGAACTTATCATAAAATGCAATAAAATTAAACTGAGCCTTTCCCTGACATTTAAAATACAATATAGATGTGAATCTCCATTTCAAGAGCAGATGTGTTTAAAGAGTAGTAATTATCCTTTATGAGATGGGATATTAAACCCATGAAATCTTAGTTTTGGTGGGAGAAACAAGTCAATTCAATGGCAGCAACCACCCCTGAGGTGCTGGAGAGAGGGAACCTCCTCAGGAGATTTGGGAGGCAGTCAGTCACCCCCAGTGATGTCATGGATGTCATTCCTACCCTGGAAAACCCAGCTAAAGTTCAGCTGTGGCTCTGGTAACTTCAAATCTGGTTACAGCAATGCAAATGGAGTTATAGAGTTACAGAGGGTTACAGCAGGGGCTGCTGTGGATGCTGCAGCTGCAGATCACCTGAGCCAGGTGTGTCCCTGCTGGGAAAGGCACCAACACCTGGTGCTGACAGAGCCCAGAGGCCTCTGAGCTGCCCAGAATGATGCCCATGGCTCAGGAAAGGCACCAACACCTGGTGCTGACAGAGCCCAAAGGNCGGGGATGTCGCCGCTGGGAGCCAGGAGGTGGCACTCGCAGCCTGGCAGGCGACACGTCCCCGTCCCCGTCCCTTTCAGGAAATATTCCCAAATTCCATCATTTTCCCACGAGTGGTGCAGGAACCTGCTCTGCCCGTGCTGCCGGGTGCAAATGTTATCAGGATGTGGTTTCGGAGCAGAAAACAGAATTTCCATGGGCTCCCTGGACGTGGCAGCTCTGTGCCTCCCTGGCTCAGGGTCGTGTTTGCATTTTAGTTCAGGTCAGGCTGTGTCGTAAAATAAAAATCCCCATCCAAGACCACTGAGTGTGAGATACAACCTCATTTATGTGATGACCATATTGTATATATATATGTATATATATACACACACACACAAAATATGTGAGATATAACCTCATTTATGTGGATGACCGTATTGTGTGTGTATATATATATATATATACACACATATATATGATATTTATATATATATATATGTGTGTATGTATATATATGTGTATATATATACAATATATGTGAGATATAACCTCATTTATGTGGATGACCATATATATATGTGTATATATGTATATATATTATATATATAATATATATTTAAAAAAACTTTATTTATTTATTTATTTATTTGTATTTGGACTGCCTGGCCCCAGGCTGTCCTGAATTCCTGAGAGGTTATTTTGTTCAGAAACCACCTCCTCCCCCATGCAAACCAGCTCTTGCTGGGCTCCTTTGCTTGTTTGGCATTCACGTTCCCCAGCTTGTTTGGCATTCAGGGATGCAAAGAAGAACAGAAATAATTTGATATTCACAGTGACAAGTGCAGGCACGGCCATGGCCCCAATTTCAGCCATGTAATGGACAGTTGAGTTATCTCAGAGTGTGTTCTGAGATCAGAGCTGATCTAAAGGTTATTCACCCCAGGAGAAATTATGCTGTAATTGAATTTATCTTGCATTTGTCTATTCAAGGAAACATAACTACAGTTTAAGGGAGAAAAATACATCAAGGAGGTAAATTTTAATCATCGGTTTGTATAAAAACACACAAATTATTCCAGCAAGCTTCCTCCACTGAGCTGTGTTATTTTGTGCATTATGGAAGTCCAGAGTGGAAAACAGAGAGACATTTTCAGCACACCTTGAACCCAGGGCAGATGGGAGTGGAGCAGGGCAGCGCNGTGGCATTTGCTGCCAGGATTAACACTGCCTTTGTTTCCCAGCTCTGTTACCAATACAATAATTCTGATTTTCCAAGGAGGATTTACCTGTCCAGCTGCACTTTCAGCAAAACCAAGCAGCCAATGTGGGCACACAGCAGCTTGTTTGGGAGTTCTGGCTGAGTGATCAGAGCTGCCACAGGGCTCCTGAGCCCCAGCCACAGCCTGGGCACCAGGCTTCTCAATATTGGACCAGTTAAGCTCAGGTGTAACACATGACAGGATCTGAACTCCTTCTTTTCTTGTTTATTTTACAGATACACTGCATCTGACTGTTCCAGCTTTAAAACTCAGAACAAAAACCAAAATGAGTGTAACCCTGCCCTTTTCGCAACAAAATAAGGTACATTTCTAAATTTGAGTGACTTTTGCAGCACCACTACTATTTAATCTGGCATAAGGAATATAAAATGTTTTCTTTGCCTTCAGAGCTCCTTTGGCTGCTGGCAGCCCTTGATAATGATTTCATGCTCCTGCAAACAAGCACTTCTGAAATGAAAGCCCCTCGCTGGTGTTGTCATGTGAGATTACAATTCCCAGTTAGACAAGGGTGCTTTAGGAGGATTGACAGAATAATACAAAAGATTATTGCAATGTGTGTCATCTTTTTAAAGGTACCCCAAGTGTAACTAATGTGGCTTAATAAGAATAGGCTTAGTTTTACAGTAAACAGAAAAACAGAGGTATGTTTCAGCTCTTGGGCTACTTTTGTTCACAACAAACATTTCCCCATCATTATGGTTTTGTTACCAGTAACACTTTGCTTGTTTTAAGCCTGAATTTCATAGCACAGTAGATGCCTTTATCAAGTTAAATACTGAACTGGTAAAGTACACTCTGAGCCTTGAGAGGACTTCTTAAAAATATTAAAGTTATGTTCAGATAACAATCAGAAGGCAGGAAAGAACCTTTGTAAAAACAATCCAATGGAAGTGCACCACACAAAGCAATTAAGGTGTGCACAGAATTTCTGGTGCATTTCTTTCCAACACTGACTGAGAGTTTTTGAAGTTCTAATGCTGTTGGCACAGACCCAGCAGTGCAGAAGAGCAGAATATTCCCATGAGAATTGTGCAAGCCTTAAGGACTTGTCCCAGAGAACTCCACCAAAGCCCTCTCAGCCTGGAGCTCAGCAAGCACAGAGTGCTTCAGGACCTTTCCTCAGCCTGCAGACAGCTTTGCTGTTTTCTCCTTGCAAACACCTAGGAACTATTAATAGTACCTGATAGAGAAACAAGGTTGTGTAAGGGGGAAGAAATTGGTTTAATTTTCCATGAACACTTGTGTTTCTGATAAGTCATCTGTTTATCTAAGTTGGGATTGAAGTGGCACTGTAACAAAACTGACCACAAGTAATTCATTTTACTCTTTGGATAAAAATGCTAAATACAGCCTTAGTTTTTAGTAACTAACTAAATCAGGCAAGATTTTATGTTCAGATTTTTGTGTGCTGGCACTTGTGACAGGTACCATACACAGATAAAGAAATGGACAGCAAATGAGTAGACAGGAAAAATAACAAATCCCACTTTTATTCTCCTTGCCAAGCAATGCAAGCACCTTATTTCATTTCCTAACAGCCATGACAACAGCAGCCCATGGGTAACAGAGCCCTGCTGGGCAGAAGCTGTGTGCTCACCCTGAGGGGAACAAACTGTGTGCCAGCTGGGGCCAGGGCAGCTCAGCCCCAGAGCAGAGACCTCACTGCAGCCTGTGGCTGCCCAGGAGTGAAAGTGGCCTCCCCAGGGAAGTGAAACAGGAGCTCTGCCACAGCAGCCCAAGGAAAGGAGCTGGGGGTGCCCCAGTGTCAGGGGATGAGCCCACAGCTCAGGACTTGCAAACAGACTTGGATGAAAAGGGGCTGGAGTCAAGCAGAATGCAGTGAGTTTAAAATGAGTTTTACAGGAGGAGTTTTGGAGGGTTGCAGCAGGGAGCTCCACAGTCCTGCTGGACCCTCGGAGCTGTTTCTGTCCTGGTAGCCCAGCCCTGCTCCAGCAGCACAGCAGCACTCTGTGCTCAGAGCTCCAGGAGCATTCCACCTGAGCCAGCCCAGCACACAGGGCTGGAGAGCCACAGGCAGCACAGAGAATGCCTGAGCTCTCCCCTGCTATGAGCCTGCACTCACAGGAAACAAACCAGAAAATGTGATTTTGTGCTGCTCTCCTCCCACTGCACCTTCAGCTTACCAATCTGTGGGCACACAGCTGTCCCACATCACCCAGGGCACTGCTGGGCAACTCAGCATCTCTTGCATTTGTTCAACACACACAAAATGTGAGCAGTTTCAGTTTGCTTAGAGTAATGTTGAAATACTGCAATAGCTACAGAAAAACTGATCTAGAAATAAAGTAGATAAAATGATAGAAAAATACCTACTTCAGTATTAATATTCACATAAACTTTTCTTATTTCATAGATGGAAAAACTCAAGTAACATCAATTTAAACTGGTAAGTCTTTCTCAATGTGGTTTATTTCTCCCCTTTGCCCTCAGAAAGGTGTTTCCACTTACTAACTGACTTTCTAAAACATGAGCTCAGTTTATAAGACAAAAAAAATTCACAAAGCGCAAATTGTATTTCCAACACAGAGGAATATACAGAGGACACAAAACTGCATTAAAATACAATATTGAAAGAGCACATTTTTTTCCATTAAGGCTTGCAAATATCCAGCACTAACTAGATGTCACACAAATATTTCAGGTGTCACTCTGCTTGAAATTCGATTTTGAAAGCATAGTCTTACATAGCCAGGCTTCAAATGTGTAAGACAGTGGTGAGCTTTGCCACTTAAATTGAGTAATATTGTAGGAAAATGTATTTGGGAACATCAGAGCTTACTTGTAATGACTTGAGAAGTATTTATTTTCTAAGATTCCATCATTTATGACAGATACAAAAGCAGATTTAAGCACACACACACTCTTACCTGCTATACTTGCAAATATTTCACTGAATCCAATCAGCACATACTGAGGAATCTGCCACCAGATTGGCAAATCTGCAGCGTGGTATGTAACATTCCCAATTGTCTGGTTAATTGTTTTAACCTTCACAATTTTCAGTCTGTTGCTTTCCAGAATTCCTGTGTGAAACGGGAGGGAAAAAAGATTGATCTAAGATGCAAACATTGTTTCTCCACATTAAGAATTAAATTAGGATTCAGCCCCTGCATTGCAATTAGAAGTGATACAACAGGAATATGTATTTATTTCCTGACATAAAGCATTTCAGACTACTTCTGCTGGTGTTATTTCAAGCCATGGTTGTTCTGCCATAGAATTAGTGATTATATTCTCATTCAGTGGCAATAATTATACAAACACTTAGCCCATTTCTGGATGGATCAGCTCAGAGCTCTCATGGACACTGTGCTGGGCTTTCTTTAAAGACAATCTCATTTTCACAAACTACTACTTTGCACTGTTGAACCATTTCAACTGCCACCACAGTATTCATAAATTAGAAATCCTTTTGCTTATGGAAATGGCTACACCAGTCCTGTAGAGCTATGAAAAGCCTCTATGAATATGATTATGACATTTATATGACACTTTTCATCCAAAGAGATCCAAGAGCTCATTAGAGCTTGATTTACAAGCAATACATTGCATAGAAAGTACTTCATACGGAATGAAAAAGAGACAGGATAGTGTAAAATATAAGCATTTTTAGCTTGCTCAGCACAACAGTTTAGGGTAGAAAGTGAATATCAAATAATGCTCTGGGGTTTTGTTGAAGTTGCCCAGATTAAACCATTGACTCACAGTTTCATAAAGTACACAGAATAGCTAATAGTTAATAAAACTCCCTGCTGCACCAAGAGACTTCTACAAAGGAACTCTCATCCCTTATCCTTGGAAACAAGGTGAATTTATCCAGCACCATCCAGAGGAGCAGGGCTGAGCCACTGCCACTCCCAG